AAATATTATAGACATTCAAATAAACACTTGCAAAATAAATGAAATTCAGTTCGGTTTCGTTTTCAGAAGATTCTAGGACCAGAGCCTATCAAATATGTGGCCAAATATTGACTTTCTCAGAGAAGAAGGACTTGATGCACAACATGGTGACCACATCCAACAGAATCAGCTGCATGTCAATGCACTGGGCGACAACCACAAATCAACCCAGCCAGACTGAAAAAAAAAACACGATACATGATGGTACCTCTCAATCACATGCAAAGGGGTCACTGTTCCTACTTCACCATTCTAAAGGTGGCAGCAGTTAGCTCGACCACCACAACCATCGGCCTCAACCATTATTCTGCCTTTCCCGCCTAATTGGTCATTTGACCAGACTACCTCGACTAACACGACCGAATTGGCCGCCTCGGCCAACACAGTCAAAGAGAAGGCCAAGGTCAAGGAGACGGCCGCTTTAAAAGAGGATGGTGCAGTACAGAGAATAACCCTCTGCATGCCCATGAGAGCCACAACGAGTCTCTTAAACTGTTCAGTGGGGAGGTTATAGCGATGGAGAGATAAGAAAAAGTTTTTCAAAGCCACTCAAATATCATCGTCTTATCCATTATTGATGAGTGAATACAGAGCCAAAACTGAGCTGTACAATGCTTTTATCAGCTTTTCCCTTTCAAAAAGCTCATGGTACTGACCAAAGAGTTCCTTTACCGACGCAGGAGGAAAGGAGTACTTGCAACGGGAAAAGCTAAAGCAGGAAGTAGAGTTTCAGAAAACAACGAGTTACTCAGTTTACCTCCACCGATTCTACCATTCAATTCCGCGTAGAGAATACGTACGAACTCTTGAAGATCCTCCAGAAAATTGGTTCCCACTAGCTCATTCTCCCTCAGCTTCATCAGCTCCATTAGGTAACAGAATGAAGTTATTTACGCCGTATGACGGCAGCAACTTTGAGAGTCATAAAATCCGCAGAGAAAACAAACAGGGTGGTAAAATAACCCTCTTAGATTGTAATTGCACACCAGATTGGATTGAAGAATTGTAAATACCAAAAGACTGAAAACCCAGCCTCGAATGTCCAGACGGCCACTGAGAAAGAGGAAAGTGCTCTACAGAGTGCAATCCTTTACATTCCATTCAGGACAATAAAGAACCTCTTAAATCGTCCAAAGGGGAAGTTAGGGGGATGGACATAAAGAAATAGGACTCTTAGAGTCCCTAACAAAATTACTGTCTTACTCATCATTAAAGAATTGAAAAGAGAGCTCAGACTGTGCTGTACAAAGCTTTTGTCAGCTTCTCCCTTTGGAACATGAACGAATAGGTACTCTTACAAGATCAACAGCACAGTTAAAGTAATAAGCATTGGTTATAGTTGACAATTGCCTCTTTGGAAATGATACTGGAGTTATGGCGCACCAACGAGCAACCATTTCAGCGCCTGGTGAACGTTGGTTGAAAGGAGTTTGGCTGGACCACAACTTCAAGAGAGTGAAAATAGCTTTATCAAGGAAGCAATCATCACTATCGACCACAAGCACTCTATGAGGGCTCTTCCCACAGCATCAAGGAAAAAGTGGAACAAAGATCGTTTGACTCACCATTCATGTACGGGATAGAGGAAATCTCAGCATCTATTGGCATGCACCCACAATTAGCTCCATGACAGAAACAAAAAATTAGAAACCGAAAGAGATCTGAAAACTCACACCTATCTGGCATTTCCTTTGGAGAAATACATTTACATTTATAGGCTGGCAAAAGCTGCACAACAAAAATTTCAATAAGCGTGACTTAGCTTAAAAAGACCACTGCAGAGATGTGACAGCATATTGGAGAAGACATGAGGTTTACACGCCAGCGGTTAAGACATACCATCTAGAATAATCCACAGGAGTACTTAAGTATACTGTCGGACCAACTGGCCGATGCGTACCTACCAACCTTTTCAGTGCTGATATGCCAAAGGCATTTGGTACAATGCAAGGGATGATTAGCGGTCATTGTCGCAAACGAGATGAAATAACTCGAGTTTCGGTTCGGTTTGTTTCATTTATGACAAGGATGAAGCAAGTAATTCTATGAGGCTTTGATGCGAAGTAAACAAGCAAATGAACTCCGTGAAACAAGTCGTATACTCCACACTCTAAGCTGTGAATGAAGAAGGGAAGAGCCCAAGATAGAAATAATTGATAGACGCAGCCACTTAAAACGTAGAATACAGTTGACAATAACTCGAACCTTTCGCGAAGAAAATTTAGTTCATGAACTCTTTTTTTTCCTTTTCCTTTCTTTCCAGTCACCTTCTACATTTATCCTCAGTGGCTCGAACTGTTGACTAGAGAAACTTTCATTTTAGGTAGAAGTTAGGGAGAGTTATCAGTCGTAATTTGTTGATGAAAAGCAGTTGTAGGGAAGAAAGAGGTCGTCTGAAGCAGTATGTGATCACAGCTGTGATTCTGTAATGAAGTTGGTTGTGCTACCGGAAGTAGTGGAGATGCCCTCCATTTGGCTGCTTTGGTCGAGAAAGCACAGTTAGTTGTGGCGAAAGAGTGGCCCGGTTGAGTGCTCAGGATGAAGTCGTCTCGCTCTTTGTGCTGGCTGAGGCCGTCTTCAGTTGGCTGTATTGGTAGACGCAGCTAATCCGTCAGTGTTGGTGGAGGTGGTCTGGTTGCGACCTTGTGGTGAGGCAGGGTAATTGACCGAGGTCGTATCTTCCAGTGGTGGTGGAGCTTACTGTAAGTTGTTGATGATGAAGCACAGATGGTGTAATTCTACCTGAGTAAAACATTACTCAGGCAGTGAACAGTGAGTCTCCCTTGTGCATGGAAAGAGAAAATCCAACGATAGTGGTAACAAATCGGTCAAGTTCGATTTGTGGAGGTCGACTGGTGCAAAGACTTTGCAACTGATAATTTTGGTTGAGGCCACTATGATGAGAATCGAATCTTTCTTACCTGAGATGCCAATGATAGCCACACATGTGAAGTTTTTGACGATGGAAAACTTCTAAAACCGAAACCGGACAAAGAAAGGTACTGCTTAAGATAAAAAGATGGCAGGAAGAGCATTGAAAATGGCGAAATTAATTCAAAAACAAAGAGAATAAAAATTGCAGCACGTCATATAGATATAATTGACATCAGTAATAAAAAAAAACTCCTAAAACCGAAACTGAACAAAAGAAAGGTTTTGCCTAAAATAAAAAGATGGTAGGAAGAGCACCAAAAATTGCAAAATGAATTCAAAAACAAAGAGTTTGAAAATTATAGCACGTCCTATGAATATTATTGACATCAGCATTAAAAAAAAATTCTAAAACCGAAACCTAATAAAAGAAAAGTACTTTCTAAGATAAAAAGATCGTAGAACATTAAATTGCGAAAGGAATTAAAATCCAAGAGAGAGGAAAATTGCAGCACGTCGTATAAATATAACTGACATCAGTAATAAAAAAAACTTCTAAAACTGAACCCAAAAAAAATAAAGGTACTGTCTAAGATAAAAGATCGTAGGGAGAGCATTAATAAATGGCGAAAGAGAATGAAAAGCTGTAGCACGTCACATAAATATAATTGACACCAGTAATAACAAAAACTTCTAAACCGAAACCGAACAAAGGAAGGTATTGTCTAAGCCAAAAAGATCGTAGGAAAAGCATTAAAAATTGGAAAAGAGGATAAAAAATTGCAGTACATCGTGAAAAAATAATTGACATTAATAATAAAAGAAAATAAAGAGGTAAATTAAAGACATTTAAATACGCCCAGCCGTTTTCTTTTTCCTTGATTTCTTTTACCCTAGCAAAAGAGAAACGCAGTGTTTGTCAGTGATAATGGTATAACATTTGGATTGCTTGCTGTTTTAAGTGTAACGGGATGTTGATATTGTTTCAGTAGTTCTTGTAAAGACCGTCTTAAGGGTAATATCACTCCTATCACAATACCCATCCTTGGGAGTTTAAAGTACTTAAAGTTATGTGTAAAGATGATTTCAGAGGATTGTTGGCCGAGTTATCTCAGCAAGAGCTACCTAATTACGTTTTTAGGTTATAAATTATGGGGATTTTCGTCAATTTCAAACCAATTTCCCAGATTGGTCCTAAGTCGTTTTCAAAATATAAAATGCCCGAGTTTTGCAGCAAATGACAATTTTTGCCTTTCTAGTAAACTGATTTCAGTTCAATTACACACTTGTCATAGTTTTACGACAAATGATTGACAAGGTTATAAAGGTTTGGTTTATCGGCGGTGCGTTTGAAGATATGTCTGATTTGGCCAAAGTTTGTGAAGTTGCGACAAACCATCCGCACTTGTAAAATGTTCGTGATGAAAGAAAATTTGTCTAAATAAACAACTCAGTCGCCAGTGTGGAAAGGTCCCAATTATAATATTAAACTAAATTATATTATTGGTTAAAATCTTTAACAGCTCCAAAGATAGTAAGTTTGTCTTGACAATGAGATGGAAAAATCACTATAGTAGTTTCTTTGACAAATTCCCAAAAAAGGCATTCCATTATAACTACTTAATAACCGAGAATGGTGTCATAACAGGACTATCTCAAACTGAAGCCGAGATTTGAGGTGTTTTTAAAAACAAGTGAACGGTCGAGGTTATCAAATTTATAGTTATATGGCTATTAAAAGTTTCTGATGAAACAAAATGAATCAATTCAACCGGGAATCGACACTTTGCATGCGGTGATGAGCGTTCACATGCATTTAACTACACTTTGCTTGTGCCATAATAAAGTCGTAGTATTCCAATTTCAACAGACGATCAGAGAGGGGGATCTTTTTTTCAGCTTTTTGAATACTTTGATCAGGAACCACATCCTAAGACATACTCAATCACGCTGACAAGTTCAGTTGGTTAGATAGTTTGCACTTCTTTACAAGTTACAAGAAAAGCTGAAATGAATAATTTCAGATTTCTAAAGCTGAAAACAAATTAAAGTGCTGCAAGTGAATGCAGACATTTCTTAAGTATACTTACATCTGCTAGAGCTTTCTTCGCATCCTCCAATTTGCTGTAAGAAGTGAAATACAAAATGGAATTTTACTCTTCCAGTTAACAGCGTAAGGTTTATGAACTTAAATAATTTAATAAGTCGTGATCTACTAAATGGTTGAATTTACTTAAAAATTAAAAAAGCTTCACTAAGGCTTTTTAGATGATCAACTCTTTGCTACTATGTCGACAAGTAATCAAATTATCTAGATGTTGCGAAGCTATTAGAATTTTCTCTGAGAAAAATTTGTAGCTAAATTTCTCAGTACACGTGCTATTTGCAATTTTAGAAAGAAATTTTGGTAAAATTTTCACCTCGAAATTTTCCACTCACCTTAATTTGTAAATAAATTTGAACTGCATGGTTTACAAATTTACCAGATTAAAAAACTTGAGAAGTATTTCGACTGCTTATTATAGATTTTTCCTCTATTTCTCCACTGATAACGGGCTATAGATCTTCATTTCCAAAAATTCAAGCGTTTCTGTGACCATGATTTCAACCCAGCCTCTCAGCAGGGCTACACTCTCAGAAAACTTCATCTTAGAAACAGTCTTCTAACCATTGCTGATAAGCGAATAATTATATTATTTTACTTACTTCTCCATGTCATTCAGAGCCATCTTCCCCTGAAAAACCAATTACAAGACTATGTTTACCAATATTGTTCGGTGGTACTTTGAAACACCTCAAGATTTCCCCGTCAACACTTCTCAGTTGCAGGTAGCGGGTGGTTTTTTATTGTTACTTTGGTGAAATTGAAAGACAGTAATCCGAGCCGTGAATAGAAGTTTACTGGTCGTTACGCTAAATTACCTGTAATGCAATATTTTTCTCTAAATTGCTCTGGATGACTCTGCTCAAAGTAAATCTTTCACAGAGGTCTCGTCAAAATCAAAAAGAAGTCACAAGAATGCTTAAACAGTTTCTTGAACAAGAAGAAACCAGCTTTTGTGTCTTTTTTTTTCGAGCAGTTTAAAGATATTTGGACAAGCGCTTTCACTTTTACGGCGCGACAAGATTCAAAATTTAATGGACACCTTTTAAGTGCAACGGCATGTTTCCAATCTCATCAATCGTTTCGGTAAGACAATAGTCTTCAAATATTTCGCCCGTAAATACAAACATAAAAATATTTGTCACTTGATTCTGCTTAACGCATTAGCATGGAAATCAGATTCACCAACCAGATAAAGCGTTCTACGTACAAAGTGCTCAATTACAGATATTTTACCTCCAAGCGATAGATAGCGAAGTTTCTCTCTAATTTCTTCAATTCTCTGTAAAAAGAAGAAAAAAATTTACAACACTCTGTGATATCACTTCACGAAGACAAACAAAATGTCCTTTTGTGTCATTTTACTGGAGCTCCTTAACTCTTATAGCGTTAAGGAATAGTTTAAAATTGGGAAAATATGTGAGCCAAATATTTTCAAGCAAATAGAAATGTTTATGGCTCTTACTAATTCTAGAAGAAGTGTTAATTTTTAACAAGGAATTAAGTATTACGAGAGAGGCAAAAGGGTGCTGCAGGGTCTAAAATAAGGGGAAAAGGTTGTAACTTCCCAAATTGATTAATTGATAATTGATTGTGTGCGAATAATCCGACAGCTTGCGATGCCAAAATTTGACTCTAAGACAGACTTAGCAGTTGTTTACTAATTTCAGTATTTTTCAGGTAAGCAAACATTAACCACAAGTTGACACAGGTATAACTTTCTAGCTTATACATTTGCAGCAAGATCGGGAGACATGAAAGCACTTAAAAAGCACGGTGCTAATGCAACGAATGAGACAACCTTTAGTACTTACATTTTTATTTTTTCTTTTGCTTCCACCTCCTCCTGTGTGTATTTAAGCACATAGACAAACTCAAATCCTCTCTCTTATTAATTATACTCGATAACATAGGATGAGAAAAATTGCGGTGCCTTAGGGTGCCTTAAGACTTCCTAAGGGTGGGGTGGGAGGAGAGTAACCTGTAATGGACTAGCAGTCAGTCCAGGGGAGGGGTGGGAGGAGGGGAACCTGCAATGGACAAACATTCGATTCGATTCAAGTGCATTCATAACGCAGCAAACAGGATGAGGTCCTGGTCCTGTTTTTAGCCCACCTAAGGAGAATTATCTAAGCGATGATCTTTTTCATAAAAAGAACGATGTTTCATCCAAAATCCACGTTCCCTTTTAATCAAACATCAATGTTCCTGAGGTTATAACAGAATTTGGACACTTTTTAAAAGATTGATAAACTAAAATAAAAGCAAATACTAGATATAACATCCTCTTCTAAAAACCAAAACCCTAAAACACCCAAGCTCAGATTAAGAGTAAAATTGACAAGGGTGAAGTACCTTGTTAAGGATGCCCCTTGCACAGACAAGATCATCGATGGCTTTTTTATCTGCTTCAGTCTGCTTCCTGCTTGATTCAAGTTCTGATTAAGATAAAGGCAGAGAAATTCTATAGATTGTAAAGGTTAAATCTCATTTGAGTAATCTTAATTTCTAAATATGTCAAACAATCTAATTATCATGATTTGTAATTACATCAACTTTTAACAAGAACTAAAACATTTGATAGATGTTTTATCGTTTATCTCAAGATATAGAGTCAGGCTATCAATATGAATTGGTCGCCTGACTCTTTATCATAAGACAAACGATTAAACACCTATCAAGTTATTCACCACGATGAATAATAACATAATTTATCATATAAACTATGGTGTTATACTAGGATTTCCAGCCCTGAGAAAAGCCGTAACAACACACGTGAAAAGATACGATATTTTTTCACGTGTCTTTGATATCGCCAATCAGCTGTTAGCACGTCACTCGCCTTTCTCGCCACTCTGTTGGGTTGATGAATGAACAGTAAAGCCTTAACCATTCTCAATCCAAGGTCGTTTGTCGGAATTTTCTCGGATTATGACTGTTAAAAAACTGAAAAATCCGTATCGTTTACAGACATTGACGTTCAAACTTTTCTAGAATGGGAAGAAAACCAAAGTATGAAAAGAAAAACCGAAAGTTACGCATTCAGTGGCTTTGGTAATGGCATTTCTCGTGTCTGAGAACAAAAGTCGACTGCTGGAGCCAAGTTGGTAGAGTCGCCACTGGCCGATTTTGGCACTGTACGTGAAATATTTCTTCTGTCGATGAGGACAAAGTCAATAACTGAGAATTTTTTTTCAGTGAAAAGTACGTTTATTGTTGTTTTTGTAATAATTCAACGCATTTTTTCATCGTGAATTTGGATGTACGACCGTACGACCGTACGACCGTACAAGGTCCTACTTTTAACATGCGTGGTCAACTGTACTGCGGGCACGCGAACGCCACGGCTCTGTCCAGTAGTCAGTGCACTGGGCTCCGAGTCGGACGACCCGGGTTCTAGTCCTGGCTGGGGCAAGGCGATGAACCCTTAAGACGTGCGGGAAAAAAAAAGCGAGCTCCGCTTTAAGGCTTAGCTAAATCTATATATTACACGGTTAATTGTAGATATGGAATTCTCTTCTCGAGTTAAACACTCGAAGAGAAATTCCATATCAATGCGCATCCATATATTATTCTCTATTTTTAACATTGGACTAAAAATTCATTTTTATTAGAATCCATAAAATTGTGCCCTGCTCCCAGCGTGTGGCTTCGTAGCTCAGTTTGTAGTTGCGCACAACTAGTGTCTAGGAGACTGGAAAAGTTTCTTTCCTGCTGTTGCATAAATTGCAGCTCACCTTAGTACTAATCATACAACAAAGATAACATATTTAACAGGATAACACTTGGAAAAAGCTGCAATCTGTAGTTGACCTTGTCATATTTGTAAGTCCACGCAAAATCACGATTAAGGTGAATTTGCATTGTTGGCCTACTCTATAACTGAGAAAAAGGGAAACCCAGATATGTCTGAGATCTGCCTAATTTTTAAAAATCACAAACATTCTCTTTTCATACCATCATTCCACTTACCTTTTTTCAAGCCAAAAACTTGTCCTTTAAGAGTTTCTTCGCGTTGTTCAATCTCAATCTTCTGATCCTCAATGGCTCTCAGCTTTCTCTGAATGGCTTCTGCCATTGCACTTTGATGCAGTGTTTCTTGTCTCAGCCCGTTTATCTCATCTTCCTTTGCCTTCAACTCGGCCTTTTTCTGTGTGTTTTCTGTGGCCAGCTGATCAATGCTGACAAGTTGCTGATCAAAACCTTGCTGGACTTTGTTTAGGCGAGCATTCAACACATCCGTATACTCCATAGCTTTTTCATTCATTATCTAAAATAAATCAAATATCATCATCAACACTTGAAAGCCATTCCTCTCTAATTAAAGAAGTATCCATAACCAGGGGAAGCCTACAAGTTTTTTTTTTCTATCGCGCGAATATTGACATGAACGTTTGAAGACAAATGAAAATTGAATAAAAACTCTTAACAAATTTACCCTCTGTTCCTTGAGTTGCTGATCAAGTTTGGTGATGTCTTCCTGTGCACGTTGAAGAGTTTCTGTTTTTGTTTTCAGCTCAGCAGTTCTATTTTCTAAATAGCTCTTTGCTTGACTCAACTCCTTTTCAAGTTCCTCCACTTTTCTAGCTTCTCGCTGGGCTTGATCACTTTGGACTTGGATGTCTACTGTAAACTGTGGAAATAAAAAATCATACAAATTTAACCAAATGTATAACCATGGAAAACTGTTTCCATTAATTTTAAAATGTGATGGACACCTTAGAAGATAATCTTGCTTTCTAACCTTTTTACTGGAACAAAAAAATCATATTCGTTGCTTCTTAATAACCATTTATAAAGATAGCAATATTAGGGAGTCTGAGAGGTTTCATGGACATCTGTGGCAAACATATCAAGATTTATATATGAGACCCTATATCTGCCAATTTCTACAAAGAAATGACAACAGGGTCAAGCACTTCCTTGGCATAACTTGGTAAGTTTAGAGTCATACGTTGTAATGAGTCAAAAACTGCATTTTCTCTAACTTTAAAAATGTACTTAAGAACACACGATGAGCTACTGTATGAAGATGTTTTTGTCTTTAAAATTTAGAGTACAGATATATGCTCGTGGTTTAACTAGGAGGAATGTAAATACTCCAGGTTCATTTCTAACGCAGTAAATAGGATGAGGCTCGACAACAAGAACCGCTTGACTCCAAATTAAAATTTTTTAAAGGATTTGTCGACAAAAATAAAATCAAATATTTAATATAACATCCCCTTCTAAAAACCAAAAACACAAAACTCCTAAGCTCAGATTAAATACAAAATTGACAAGAGTAAAGTACCTGGTTAAGGATGTCCCTTTCACAGACAAGATCATCGATGGCCTTTTTATCTGCTTCAGCTTGATTTTTCCTTGATTCAAGTTCTGAATAAGATAAAGGAAGAGAGAGTTTATAGATTGTAAAGGTTACATCCCATTTGAGTAATCTTAATTGATAAGTATGTCGAACAAGCTAATTATCATCATTTGTAATGACATATAGATTTTAACGAGAACTAAAGAATTTAATAGATGTTTTATTGTTTATCTCATTATATTGAGTCAGGCAATCAATATGAATTGTTCGCCTGACTCCATATCGTGACACGAACCATACAACATCTATCAAAATATTTATCACAATGGATAGCAATATAATTTCTAACATTGAACTAAAAGTTAATAGTCATAAGAATCCTTTAAATTGTGCCTTGCTTCCAGCGTGTGGCTTCGTAGCTCAGTCTGTAGCTGCACACAACTAGTGTCTGGGAGACTGGTAAGCTTCTTTCCTGCCGTTGCATAAATTGGAGCTCATCTTTGTACTAATCATACAACAAAGATAACTTATTTATAGGATAATACTTGGAAAAAGCTGCAATTTGTAGTTGACCTTGCCTATATTTGTAAGTCCCTTAAATCTACACGCAAAATCACGATTAAGGTGACTTTGCCTTGTTGGGGCTACTCTAGAACTGAGGAAAAGGGAAAGCCAGATATGTCTGAGATCTGCCTAGTTTCACAAAAGACAAACATTCTCTTTTCATACCATCATTCCACTTACCTTTTTTCAAGTCAGAAACTTGTCCTTTAAGAGTTTCTTCGCGTTGTTCCACCTCAATCTTCAGATCCTCAATGGCTCTCAGCTTTCTCTGGATGGCTTCTGCCATTGCACTTTGGTGCAGTGTTTCCTGTCTCAGCCCGTTTATCTCCTCTTCCTTTGCCTTCAACTCGGCTGCTTTCTGTGTGTTTTCTGTGGCCAGCCGATTACTGCTGATAAGTTGCTGATCAAAACCTTGGTGGACTTTGTTTAGGCGAGCATTCAACGCATCCGTATACTCCATAGCTTTTTCATTCATTATCTAAAAAATAAATCAAATATCATCATCAACACTTGAAAGCCATTCCTCTCTAATTCAAGAAGTATCCATGACCGGGGAAAGCCTAAAAGTTTTTTTTTCCTATCACACGAATATTGACATGAACATTTGAAGATAAATGAAAATTGAATAAAAACTCTTAACAAATTTACCCTCTGTTCCTTGAGTTGCTGGTCAAGTTTTGTGATGTCCTCCTGTGCACGTTGAAGATTTTCTGTTTTTGTTTTCAGCTCAGCAGTTCTATTTTCTAAATCGCTCTTTGCTTGACTCAACTCCTTTTTAAGTTCCTCTCCTTTTCTAGCTTCTTTCTGAGCTATATCACTTTGGACTTGGATGTCTACTTTAAACTGTGGAAACAAAAAAAAATCCTACAAATTTAACCAAATGTATAACCATGGAAAACTGTTTCCATTAATTTTAAAATGTGATGGACACCTTAGAAGATAATCTTGCTTTCTAACCTTTTTACTGGAACAAAAAAATCATATTCGTTGCTTTTTAATAACCATTGTTATTATATACATAGCAATATTGGGGAGTCGGAGAGGTTTCATCGACATTTGTGGCAAACATATCAAGATTTATATGAGACCTTATATTTGCCAGCTTCTACAACACAATGACAACAGGGTCTAGCACTTACTTGATATAGATTGGCAAGTTTAGAGTCATACGTTGTAATGAGTCAAAAACTGCATTTTCGCTAACTTTAATAATTTACTTAAGAACACACGATGAGCAACTGTGTGAAGATGTTTTTGTCTTCAAAATTTAGAATACAGATATTTGCCAGCGGCTTATACAGGAGGAAAGTAAATACTCCAGGTTCATTCAAAACACAGCAAACGGGATGAGGTCCGACAACAAGAACCACTTGACTCCAAATTCAAAATTTTTTAAAAGGTTTATTCACAAAAATAAAATCAAATATTAGATATAACATTCCCTTCTAAAAACCGAAACCACAAAACTCCTAAGCCCAGATTAAGAGTAAAATCGATAAGAGTAAAGTACCTGGTTAAGGATGTCCCTTTCGCAGACAAGATCATCGATGGCTTTTTTATCTGCTTCAGCTTCCATTCTGCTTGATTCAAGTTCTGATTACAATAAAGGAAGGGAGAGTTTATAGATTGTAATGGTTACATCTCATTTGAGTAATCTTAATTGGTGAGTATGTTTGACAATCTAATTATCATTATTTGTAATGACATAGATTTTAACGAGAACTAAAGAATTTAATAGATGTTTTATCGTTTATCTCACCGTATTGAGTAAGGCAATCAATATGAATTGTTTGCCTGACTCCATATCGTGACGCAAACCCTACAACATCTATCACAATATTCACCACAATGAATAGCAACATAATTTCTAACATTGAACTAAAAGTTTATCATCATAAGGATCCTTTATGTTGTGCCCCGCTACCAATCTGTGGCTTAGTAGCTCAGTTGGTAGTTGCACACAACTAGTGTCTGGGAGACTGGAAAAGCTTCTTTCCTGCCATTGCATAAATTGCAGCTCACCTTAGTACTAATCATACAACAAAGATAACTTATTTATAGGACAATACTTGGAAAAAGCTGCAATTTGTAGTTGACCTTGTCTATATGTGTAAGTCCCTTAAATCTACAGCAAAATCTTGATTAAGGTGACTTTGCCTTGTTGGGGCTACTCTAGAACTGAGGAAAAGGGAAAGCCAGATTTGTCTGAGATCTGCCTAGTTTCACAAAAGACAAACATTCTCTTTTCATACCATCATTCCACTTACCTTTTTTCAAGCCAGAAACTTGTCCTTTAAGAGTTCCTTCGCGTTGTTCAACCTCAATCTTCAGATCCTCAATGGCTCTCAGCTTTCTCTGGATGGCTTCTGCCATTGCACTTTGGTGCAGTGTTTCCTGTCTCAGTCCGTTTATCTCGTCTTCCTTTGCCTTTAACTCGGCACCTTTCTGTGCGTTTTCCGTGGCCAGCCGATCAATGCTGACAAGTTGCTGATCAAAATCTTGCTGGACTTTGTTTAGGCGAGCATTCAACGCATCTGTATACTCCATAGCTTTTTCATTCATTATCTAAAATAAATCAAATATTATCATCAACACTTGGAAGCCATTCCTCTCTAATTAAAGAAGTATCCATGACCAAGGGAAGCCTAAAAGTTTTTTTTTGAAGATAAATGAAAATTGAATAAAAACTCTTAACAAATTTACCCTCTCTTCCTTGAGTTGCTGGTCAAGTTTTGTGATGTCTTCCTGTGCACGTTGAAGATTTTCTGCTTTTGTCTGCAGCTCAGCAGTTCTATTTTCTAAATCGCTCTTTGCTTGACTCAACTCTTTTTTAAGTTCCTCTCCTTTTCTAGCTTCTCGCTGAGCTTTATTACTTTGGACTTGAATGTCTTCTTTCAGCTGTCAAAAAAAAAAAAAGTCATGCGAATGTAACCTAATGCATAACTATGGATACCTGTCGTCTATCAATTTAAGATCTAATGGACCACTTAGAAGATCATTGTGCTTTCTAACTTTTTACTGAAAAAAAATCATATTCGTTGCTTGTTAATAAACATTTATTTTAAAATATCAATATCAAGGAGTCTGTGAGGTTTCATGGAAATTTGTGGCAGACATAAAAATTTATAAGGGACCCATATTTACCAGTTTCTACAAAAAATGACAACAGGGTCTAGCATTTGCTTTGCACGGATTTGTGAGTCTTACTTTTCATACTTTTTTAAACACGATAACGTAGATGTTTTTGCAAAGTTACTAAACTGCACGCGATAACTTACTGTATAAAGACGGTTTATGTTGAAATTTTTGTTGAACATTTGCTGGCTCATGAAAATTCACAGAGCATGTAAAAGAGCGAAAGAAAATTTGAATGGAAAATATGAAATCAAAAACCCTTACTCTGGCAATTTCAGACAGCTTTTCATCCCTTTCTTTTGTCAGCTCGTGCTTGATTTTAAGCAGCTCCTCCACACTTTAAGAGAATGAATCAAACCGAATAAATGAGTCAGAGTGAACTGAGTGCTACAACTGCTCGTGAGATTTTCGAAAGTGACACGGGTTCCATTCATTTCTAACCTGTGCTAATTATCAGTCTAACTTCCGCACCAAAGTGCAAATAATACAACTCAACTTTTCGTCTCTGAAGTGTTGCTTAACATTTCTAGGGAAAATATCAGTTACAAGATTCACTGAAACACTATTTCTTTATTTTGAATTTAGGCCGATGTTAAAATCAATGCAGCTTCACGGATGATCCGTTTTGTGTTACCTAGACATGAAATCATGAAATTAATTAGATTAAGCATCAATTTAAAAGTTCTCATCGAATTTCCCTTTATCGTTTATACTCATACCTCTCGAGCTCTTCTTGCTCTTTTCTTCGTTGCTGTTCCTGTGTAGTATTATATTAAAAGAGAAAAATAGACCAAAGACTTCTATTTTACATTTTTATGCTAAAATACACTTGAAAGTAAGAAGTTGCCCGGATTTTCCTTTTGACCTTCCCTGCTAACACTCACGGTATTCCATTCACGTCCTTAAAGTTTAACCTATCAGCCAATACTTAATTTTGATAAAATTATCGCCAAATATTAGATCTAGGTTGACATTATTCAAACCAATGTTCTTCGTTGCTTACGAGGTGGTAGAATAATAAACAAAGAAGAGTAGCCTCTTCTGTCATGACAAATTTGATTCCTGCACTTTTAATCCATACCCAGAGGATCAAAAGATGCGTGACTATCCATAATCACTGCAGAAAAAGAATATTCCACGTTCTAATATATCAAATGTAATGTGTCACCCGGCCGAAAACTGGGGGATATATGGTGTTATCAAATTTTCAACTAAAAATTTGAAAATCAAAAGCAATAAAGGGTCAGAAAGCTGTCCGAAAAAATTTGTACTGCGCGTAGCCAAAATATCCTATGGATTGTGAATACACAATAATCTATATTTGGCGCGAAAGTGTTCTTGAATATTTCACCTTGAACATTTTCTGTTTATCGGAGCTATTGGTATTCCTTGAGCTTCGCTCTCGGAAAACCACCCACGTTAAAAAGCTTCTCCTTTATAATTTTCTTCGCTTTTACTTTAGTAAAGTAACAACTTTTGCCCATAAATATACTAAGATACTCACAATGATTCGGGTCTGTACCCTCGTGTTTCGATCTGTGACAGAGATATAAATGTTCAAATTCTAAACTGCATTTATGAGCAATGATAATGACGATAGTAACAGCATTTAGAATGATATTTATCATATCTAATTATCTACTAATGTGTTTTTGGTGTAAATTCTACCTTTATCAGTTTTCTTACAGTTCACCAAGTTTTAGTCATAACACTGCAGTTGAAAAACAAATCTTTAGCCTTAAAAATTAAAAAATTAAAAATTAAAAAACCCATTAAAAACAAAAGAAGTAATGTAGGTAACACATATTCATAAATAACGTTCAATGGATTTACCTCCAGTTCTCCTTACTCCAATTCCGCTTGACTCAAGAGCCCGTAGGCAAAATCTCGCTCCTCCTGTTAATCAAAAGAGAGGTTTCTTGGTTGTCGGCAATAAATAATAAAAATTGAGATGCACTAAATAATAAAAACTGAGATGCGCTACAATATTAACAATAAAAACTGAGATGCACTAAATAATAAAAACTGAGATTTGAATTTAAAATCAAACATTCAATGTTTTCCTAGAAGATACAGACAAATTTTTTTCTTACTCTTTTCACCTCATAGGATTTCTCAGACTAATGATCAATTTGACCAGCTTAAACTGGAAAAGAAACACAAGAAGGCAGTAGCCAGGGAAGTCGATTATGCTAAGGTAAATGTTGAAAGGACTACTCTTGGCGTCGTGTCCATGCTCTCTTATCCGCACCATGCGAGGCCAGTCCTCCCGAGGAGATCCTCAGAGCTCCAAACAGAATTTGATCCATGTTTTATAATGCGATTATCGTACTCGTGAGTCAGAAGACTTAGCAAAAAACGGTTCCGAGATCTTCTGCTTTAGACCCTGATGACGAATTTAGCCTTAGAGACCAAGCCTACTATAATCTTGAAAGACAAAATCGTGCGATGGAGGAATTCGTAAATCAGCAGCAGAAAAACTCGTAATCGAGAAAAAAAGCCCCCGTTTAATATTTTTTCGCGCATGTCTTCGAGACTGTTATCGAAGGAAATAAACATGAAAGTGCAGGCAGATTGTATTTGTTGGAGCAACACATAAAGAAGAGCTCAACAGATTGTGCGTAGCTGTTTGTACCTAAACCCAGGAGGAAGCTGAATCTGTAGGTGTTTCAATTCTCTTGTTCGATTGCACCAACATCCTCAAAACTACCGGGTATCTCAACATGGTTTAAATCCCCGACAACATAAGAAATGTTTTTGAGAGACTGCCTCCTAAGATGCAGAGCATGTGGTGAGACATCAACAATCGTATTCTTGATAAAGTAGGAAGAGTGCGTCGTGTAGGTTTTTTAATTAGTTCCGTCTGCAAACGTTTTGATTTCGTTTAAAAGAAAAGCCTGTGTTTCTCGTGTTTCAAAAAAAGACACCAATCGATATGATGCCGCAAGAAGAAGCCCTGCGCGCACTGCAATCTGTGATGGGAGACATGCAACTGTGATGCACTTGGTTGTATCTTGGTTCGTCTCGACTGGCACGTTTGATTTCAAAGTGCTCATTAAAGATCGACTTTGTACTAGGCGTGGTATACTTTCGATGGTCAATTCCGTTCATGACTTGCTGGAATGGCAGCTCTGGCAGCTTCTTCCAGGGATGCTTTTTCATCAGGACTTGGAACCAAAGGGCTTAGAATGGGGCGAAAAAATTTTAGAGAATCGCTTGATCCCCTAACGAACATGGCTTGAGGTTGGAGATCTTTTCGCTCTCGGATCTTCCATAGAACACCCGTACTGTCGGAAAAGAGGCTCGCGCTCTGCATTGAAGTATTAAAACAAATGTCATTCCAGTGTAAGACAACCGGCTAACTTGAAGATTGTACCCGCTGGCTCCGGTAATTAAAGAGTTAAAGAAAGCTGTTAGACCGACAATTACTCCAGAGCAAGACATTCGAACTTTGACTAACATATGGAGATTCAATCCATCAGCTGCCCACATTTTTGAGGAGCCCACAAATTTAAAGACTGAAAACTGCAAGGAAAGTCATTTATGCCGTAGGGATATAATAATATAATAGGGGTCCGAGTGGTGACCGGTGAGGAGCTGATCACAGTGTTCGTAGAGTCCCCGCTGTTATTCCCCGTCCGTTAACCTGGCGGAGTTCAGATCACCAAACGAGGTTGTGCTAACCCCAAACCATCATTTCGCTCGGGCCAAACGGGAGGACACGTGGCCACTGAATCTGTCAGAAGCACTTCTGTTTCTTAGATGTCAAAGATGGCGATTGGAGGAAATGGCGCAAATAATGTGTTCCTGCTCTTAGGACATTAAGCCGCTAATACAAAGTGACATGCCAGATATCAACGATTTTATAAGCCAATCGCGGCGATTAGTGTTGAAAACCGATGCAGCGGGCTGCCTGATGATTTTCGCCGATCAGCGAATAAAATCGCTAAGTGTTTGCAGGCGTAAGATATTGGAGACGTAGTCCTTGTGATTATGCTCGACACTCCAAAACAAAGTTGACCACGAGGACGAATTGTTGCAGTGTATCATGGACGTGATGGCCACACCCGTGTAGCTTTTAAAATTTGAGTATGTAGCCAAGATTGTTGTTTGACCAATTCAAAAACTGAAACATCTTAACTGTAATTCAGAAACATGCTATGGGAAGGCAAAATGTTTTAAAATAAAAGCGAACTGACGTGACGCGTGCTCAGACATTTAAATTTTGGAAGCTCGCGCGAAATAACGCGTAGGACTATGAGTTATGTGAATAACCGTTTTTATTTGTTTTCTCTCTCCAAACTGGAGTCGCACTTTTTAGCGACTTTGCGCGTGCAAGTTATATCTTGCATGGTAAATTCGCAGAGTTTTTATTCAAATTTAATACCGCTTACGAATAATATAACAGAATCGAAATAGACTACCAATTTTTTCTTAGAAGGGTAAAGTGAAATTCTCTTTTTCCCTTTGTTTTCTTTTCCTTTCTTGGCAATTCTCATGAAATTTAAACAGTGATGAATAATATGTTATGCACGCCACAAATCACGATAGTTTGCTCAACCTTGTCGAATAACTGTCAAAAAGTCTCTTAAGCCGAAGATTTACTCGGTGAATAATTATATATCCGATATCTGACATGCTACATATCGGCGAATTCCTACGCCAATCGCAGCGACCAGAAAACTCGCGCCATTCTTTCTACCAATCAGGTACAAAAATTAAACCAATCACCACTTGTTCCCTCACGTTTTCAGGCAGTTTGATTGGTTTTACTTTGAGTTCTCATCTTCAAGGCATTTGCCGTCCATCTGATTTGCTGTTGTGATTACTTTGGTTTCGTTTTACGATATTTTGTTAAAAAGCGTTCTATATTGTAATTCATCGAGATCAGTAGATCTGCAACCTTCTTTGCGATATTTACCGATCATACTCCACTTATTGAGATAAAATGTATCAAAAAGTTCGTGCGGAAGGATTGTTGATATGTTGTTGCCATGGTTTTCAGTTTGCAAGACGCCCAATGTTAAGCGCTGAGGATATTTCCTGTCGTCGTTACCATTGTTTATATTAAAAGATATATTATATTAAAGTTTTCAATTTCTTGTTTTTTAAGTTAGAGAATACATTGTCTTAGCTGTTATGTTTGTTTCATTGACTTTAACCTGAAAAAACATTCAGAATCTAATTCTAGAAAGCCATGTTGCCGACATTTTTACCAGATATCTAGAGGTTTGGTTTTTGCCTCAAAACCATCTTATTTCCTTTTCTCTCGAGGTCGCACAAATCAGCGCTTTGAAAGTGATCGGAACAAAATCTGCTCGTTAGACAAACCTTACAGTCTACCGAAATTCGAAACTCGTTTAGAGATTGAGCTAAGTGTTGAAAAGGTAGCGTAAATTAGCGTTCTCAAAAATGGCGTTTAAAACTGTCTGTTATAGAATTAAAGTGAATAACGATATAAACAATTACGTTACAAAGCATGAACTAACCTCTCCCAGCTCTACCTGCCATTTTCAGATGAAATTTAGTTTTTTTTTATCAAACGTAGTCAATAAACAATATCCTGACTCACTGCGATGTACTTCTGCGAAAACTTCCTTTATGACGTAAGGTAATATAAAATTTTGCGCGCGGCGGACATGGTGACGAGGTTCCACGCATGAGATGTCTTTGCATTGGTCTAGATACAGTCGCTTTCGTGTTCGCATTTTGAATTTTGCAATGCTTATGTCGGGCATATGAAGATATCAAATATTGTATGTGAACGTTCTGCAAATGTAATTAACCTGTAGCAATGGGTTCAGACCTTAAAGGCAAAACCAATAAAGCGAGTTTAGCTCTTAACAAGTGGGAATGACCTAAGAATTTAGAAAACGGAGAGGTGGATCAAATGAATGATTCTGATTTCGTTTCTTGGGTTTTTTTTTTCTTTACTTACCGAACCATCTTCTCTTTATTCACTTCTTAAAGCTCAGGAAGCCCAAGCTCCGTAAATATGCAAATACGGGAATAGACGGTAGCACTGCAGACGTAAAAAATCTAGACAAAGTTACCTCACTTAAGTAGCTGTTCCTTTACATCGTGTGAGTTTCTTGAGCTAATTTAGGGCCGTTTAGTTCGGTTTCAATTCAGCTGCCCTGTCCTCTATATGATCCATTCTCAAGGAAGGACACTGTATGACACCGAGACGACCTTTTCGCGGCAAAGTCCCCCATTTTGAAAATGAGACAAATTCCTATGTTACTGAAAGCAGGAATGGGGAATGGGAATGGGAAAACAAAATGGGTAATTAAAAACGAGAAATTATTATTTTTTTTTTTGTTGTTGTTGTTCTAGGCTCCCTGTAACTAACGAGGAACAGCTGTTTTTCATCGATATCCACGTTCTCTTTCAAACACGTTCAGGGGCGCGGCGAAATTCAAGGAACGAATGAACTGATGATAAGGAAAAATGTGTGCTTCAATGAACAGATCAAGTGATGGGCTCCTGACAGATCATGAATGTCCAAGGACAAATATAAGAGCAAATTTTCGCGCAAAATAGAGGCTATTGTGTTTCTTATCCTTATTTTGAAACTTGTGTCAAAAAATGTCTTCGAACAGCTTGCTGTTGCTTGCGTAGGATGTTTTCATTTGAGTGTCCTCTGGTGCGACTTCATAAACAAGCAAATATTTTCTTTCTTCTGTAACAACAATAATGACAAAATAATACATTCCTTGGATTTCGGTTAAATATGATATTATTTTAAAACAATATTATATGACAAGACTTCGCTGTTCGTTTCAATATGCAAAGCCACGCTGGCATCGAGTCCCGAGTCGTGGCTGACCGACAAAAGCTAATGAATGTTTGTTTATTGAGCCGAGAAATACATTAAGAATAATCGGTCTCACCTTGGGAGAATTCCGTCAGAAAGGAGGTAAAAAGATTGACTAAACTATTGCACACTCGCCACACGCTTGAAATGTGGCATTACCCAGCGTCTTTTGCTGGAGTTTGTCGGATGTTACTAAAAGCAGGAATAGGTGAATGAGGATTGTGGAATGGGAATTGTAGAATGGGGATTGTAGAATGGGGATTGTAGAATGGGGATCGTAGAATGGGGATCGTAGAATGGGGATTGTAGAATGGGGATTGTAGAATGGGGATTGTAGAATGGGGATTGTAGAATGGGGATTGTAGAATGGGGATTGTAGAATGAGGATTGTAGAATGAGGATTGAGGAATGGGGAATGGCAGGAGACCTTTACCCGGAGTCTCCATACCAATTGTACCCTTGCGTCAACCCTGTCCCGTATCTTTTTTATTT